TTGTGTTCTGACCCTTGTTCTCCCCCAACTTCTTTAGGTGTTACACGAATAGCTGCTTCGGAGACAACGGGCATTGGTTGCTGCTGACGATCACGTTCTTAATCAAGAATGACATCGCGAACATCTTCAGAGTCTGCTTCGCTGAGTGGGATAAATTCGGCAGTTCCAGCTGACGTGGTTGGCACGGTTAATGTCAGTTGCAGCTTCGGAAGATTCAGCAACAACCTCATCCTGTACATTTGCTTCGGCCTCGTCGGTAGCGAAAGCACGCGAGCCTTCGAACAGTCTAGCAAGATTGGCAGCTGCAGCCTCGTGAGCACGAAAAACAGGTAAGGCGAGGCGTTTGTAGAAAATACAATCACGTGCTGGTACGATCTGAGTCGTGCAAAGATCCATGATTTTCCACGCGTAAAACTGCTTTTCGATGCCAAGATGTATTCCCCACTTAGCCCGTTCTGAAAAATTTCCGAGTGCTGCAGTCGGAGGTCGATATGGAACCGTAGGCCCGAAAACTCTTAAAAGTTGGGTGTTGCCAACTGTTTTTGTCCACTGCAAGTGCGGCGAAGAAAATTGCGGAAGAAAAGTTGTCGACAACAAGTTGTGCAGAAAACTGCATGGTCCAAAACGTAAGTCCAAAAATGAGGTGGTAGTGCTGCCTGAGTCAGCAAGACTCGCATATTCTCTTGTAATGTTTTGTTCATCCTCTCTGCTACCCCCATCTGCTGATGTTGATGCAGCAGTGACCCTCTGCGCTTGATGCCTAGGGTTTGAAGGTAGTCAGTGAAGTTGGTGATTAAGTATTCCCCTGCTCCGTCACTCTGAAACTCTTGACGCTTTTCCTTCGATTCTGGTTCAGCCACCGCGAGCCACGCGACGAAGATCGAGTGAGCCATATGACGAGCGGGTATGTTTACCGTCCAAACATATCGAGTAGAAGCTTCAATAAAAGATATCATATAGAGCTCCGCCTTGGGTCCTGCTTCAAGTAAGTTGAGTATGTCGCTGTAGACTTTTTGGATAAGACTGTATCGTGCTGTCCCTGGAAAATGACTTGGAAATGGTTCGTGATGAAGATTAGCAGTTACGCATGTTGTGCAGACTGCGGGTCGTGAAGACGGCTTCTTTTCGGTTCCATTGGGTAAGAGTAAGATGTTTTTGTGATTCGTCGAGTTGTCCAGGAAAGAAGCGAGTAAGAGGTAATTTTGTGGTTTTAATTTCCACATTGAGAACTTCTTCTGGTTGAAGAACTAACTATCCTTCTTCGATTTCTGTTTCTGTTGAATTTGCTGCAGGTTGTCCGATAAGAACCCCTGTATCTGCTTCACTGCTACTCTGCTGCTCTCCTTCCTCTGCTTCACTGCTGCTGCTGTGTCCCCAAAGTATTTCAGTTTTGTTGTCAAGTTGTTGTAAATTTTCATAATAGTTCCGCCATGCTGATGTATCTTCTTCGCCTGTGTTTGTTGGCCAGGAATCAAGAGCCGTTATAACTGCAGCGGCTGTACGAGATCCCGTTGGAATTGCAGTTGCACGGAAGTCTATATCAACTTTTTAGAACTCAGTTTCTTCTGGATGTTGCCAAGGCCCAAGAGATAACACCTTGTCTAAATCTCCAGAATTGCCTTGCAATTCGAATTGAAGAACTGAGACTCCATACTGAGTTGCAGCTCTTCCAATGTAAGTATTGGAGTCATTGTGATAAAGTTCCTGGTCCATGGTCTCACAATTTTCCTTGTGTCCTGATTTTATGTCGTAGGAGTTGAGCCGTCGAAAGAAGATTGAAGCCAAGTCCAGCGATGATGAGGACATGTGTAACGTGTAAGGAAAAATCTGTGTCGACAGAATCCAGCATGACACCGCCGATTGATCTTGCCATAATGTTTTGTCCGTTTGCAGCTGTAACAGGTACTGGACGTCGAAGAGGAAGCTGATGTGTGATGAAAAGCGTCTTGGCAGAGCACATGTGTTGACCACAACAACTGTCAAGATTCCAAGTGTTCGGTCCTGGAATAACCCGAGCGAGATTAGCATAGACCTGAGGTAAGATGACGTTCTCAGGTTGCTCGATGGAATTTTCTTCTTCCTCGTCACAATCTGAATTTGTTGCATGAACGGTTGTAACACAGCTAAAAACCTGTTTTCCTGATGTGGCAGGAGTTGTTGTTGGTGGATTCTACTTCACGGGTTGCTTGAACTGCTGCGACTGCTGCTGTGCTCCTCGTTTTTTATCAGCATGAAGCTTGTTGCAAAATTTGATGCTGTGTCCATCCTCTTTGCAGTAGTGACAGAAGAACTTGTTGACACATTTTGCAGGCGTTGAATAAAATTTGATCTTGAGTGCTCCCTTTTTGTTATATGCTGTTTGCAGGTCAAGATCCTGTTGCTCAGCTTGAAGAATCGAACAAATTTCAGCTTCGGATAGATTTGGTTGAATTTGAAGAAGAGATTGACACTGCCGCCATTCTGCTCCAAGACCGACAAGAAGAAGTATTTTAAACATGTCCTTTGGGAAGTATCCGCCGCATTTTTCCAATTGGTCACTGTGAGAGTACGCCTCCGTTACACCACTTGGCCTTTTCCATATTTCATCTTCATTTCATTCCTCTTTTTATCTCACCTCCTTTTGCCTCATATTCCCCATTTTCCATTATCCTTTGGTTTCTTCCTTTATTATTATTATATCACCGACCAGGCATGGAATGTTCTAGACACGCTATCTAGCGTAATCCTGCTGTAATCCCTTAAAGCCAATAGCCTCGCGTGGCTATACGCAGGGTGATTCTATCTTCTACAAGGGTCTATTCCCTTAGGATAAGATAAACCTGGTTACCTGATGTACTCTGGAAGTATAAAAGCGCCTTGTACTGATCGATAGTGCAACCTTTCCTCGACACATTCGATCCTGTGACACTTGGTAATCAGAGCTTTTCTCACTCGGCCGCGCTCAGCTAAGCAGCAGCAGCGGGGATCCTGCCTCGAAAAACCGCCGGGGGCGACCAATTCGACGCCGATTCTGGTAAGCACCAGCTCCGCGATTTTCGAATTACCCCCTCCGTGCGTGTTTTGAACAGGATGGCAACCTTCGACAACGCCGAGGTTACCCAGCAGCTCTTCGCGCGCATCGCAGCCCTTCAGGAGGAAATGCGAGCGGATCGCGAAGCGTGGCGAAACCAGTTCGAGCGAGTAACTCGACTCGCCGGAGCGCAGCACGAGACGACAACGGCGACAACGCAGCAGTCGCAGCAGTTTCTCGAGGCTCCGAAACCGCGCCCACCTGAGCCGTTCGATCCGAGCGATCGAAACTCCGACGCCCGCAGATGGATCGCCGGGATGGAGATCTACTTCGCAGCCGTCGGATGGAGCTCGCCAGTCTGGGACGGTCAACGTGTACGACTCGCGGCGACACTGATGCGAGGGCCGGCACTCGAGTGGATTGGCGGCAACAGTACTTTCATCCACGGTGAAGCCACGTGGCAGCAGTTCCGCACCGACCTGCTGAAACGCTTCGAACCGATAAATTCGAGTTTCCTTGCCCGGGAAAAAATTCATCGACACCGACAGTTCGGGAGTGTAGCACAGTACACGCAGCAGATGGAGGAATTTTATAACCGCATTCCCGACCTGACCGAAGGGGAAAAAGTACAATCGTACCTCGCCGGGCTGAAGACCGAAGTCAAACGACAGGTGGCAGCGTCAAACTACGCGAGCTACAGTGACGTCGTTTCGGCCGCGGAGCGCTTCGACATGGTCAACGCCGGAACACGACGGACGCACGTCGGCAGTACGCGACAGGGCGACCGCTCGGCTCACCCCACGTTCGCCGACCCGATGGAAGTCGACAGATTCGAGGGGCGGCCACGTCCGAAAAACACCAACTACACGTGTGATTTTTGCGGGGTGCCGGGCCACCGAATCTTCGACTGCAACAAAATGAAGGCCGCACGCGCAGAGTATCGGGCACGCAACAGTGGCGGAAATCTTTCGGCCAATCAGAAGACAAAAAACGGGAGTCGCCAGTGATTACGGATCTAGCTGGCGAAAATAAAAAGATCCGAAAGCGGCCGCGGGATTCCGGAAAAATCAACTTCGACGAAGCTGATTCGACGCGAGCAGGAGGAAATGATGGGGGAAAATCTCCACCCCACGACCAGTCTTCGCCAGGGAAATTCGCCGAGGGAAAATCAGACTCCGCGAAAAAAGACTCTGCCGAGACGGGGAAACTCCTTGAAGACCCAAGAAATTATAAGAATTCATTAAAGCTATCCTATAAAGATGCTTTAATGAAAACTTATGATGTTCGAGGGGCTAGAGCCTTGGAGAAAATTCGGGAGGGACTCCAAAAGAAGCAGACAGCTGTGGAGATTATACCGGTACCGGACAACTTGGGGACCAAATTAAGGAGTGTGGAAAGAAGCCGACCTTTCCACGGAGTCAACGTCCTCTCCCGACACCAGCCCACAACGACTACCCGTTCCCCAGGGAAGACGTCGGTGGAGCTGAAGCAGCTCAAGAGGAAGCTGGGGGTCTACAAGAAGCTGCACAAACCCCGAACTCCTTCTACGGATGCATCCAGTTCTTCGGCATCAGTAACGCGCACAGTCGTCAAGGAAACTCCGGGCCCTGGAGAAGAGCCGTTCTCCAAGCAGCCTCGGCCAGCTGCCAGCTCAGGAGTAGACAACAACACAAAGGTGTGTACGGAATATTGGGATGTACCCTATGACCCAATCAATGAAACTATCTTTGGGTACTCCGAGCAACGACTGCCCCTCGTGCTCGAGGTCATCTGCAAAGGACGACGCCTTCAAGCACTCGTGGACAGCGGAGCATCACACACCGTCTGTGACAAGGCAATGATCGACCGACTCCGGGAAGAGTACAAGCCTTCAGGATTCTCTGCAACGATGGTGGACGGCAGCAAGTTACCCGTACACGGCGAAGCAGTGCTACATCTACAAATTGGACCACTGCGCTGGAGACCTGCACTCCCCATCACCAACATCAAAGGGCTTGACTTGATCTTCGGGCGAGACTTCCTGAAAAGATTCAACCCCGAGATCAACTGGGTGAACCGCACCGCAAGCATCTACAACAATGGACGGAGAGTACAGCTACCCAACTGGGACGACACTGGAGATATCCCAGTGGAGACACTCGCACGATTCGAGAAGGACGTGAAGCGGACCGACACCGGGTTCCTGGCGATAGCAACAGAGGTGGAGAATGACGGAGAGAAAGCCTCGGAAACTCCAGAAAAGATCAAGGAATTACTGAAGGAGTTCCAAGACATTCTTCCTGACGATCTTCCGAACGAGCTACCGCCATACCGAACGCATCAACACGAGATCGTGGAGGAACCGGGTTCGAAGCCGACCTTCCGAGCACCATACCGGCTCAGCCCTACGGAGCTGACCGACATGAAGAAGCAGATCGAGTATCTCCTAGCCAAAGGACTCATCCGACCATCTACTTCGCCATACGGTGCCCCAGTACTCTTCACACCGAAACCGGACGGAAGCCTGCGCATGTGCATCGACTACCGAGCTCTTAACAAGCAGACCATCAAGAATAAATATCCGATACCGCGAATCGATGACCTGCTTGACCAGCTTCGGGGAGCTACGGTATTCTCCAAACTGGATCTGCGGTCCGGATACTGGCAGATACGGATGGCGGACAACTCTATCCACAAAACTGCTTTTCGAACTCGGTACGGATCATACGAGTATTTGGTCATGCCGTTCGGACTCACCAACGCACCGGCAACGTTCCAAGCCGAAATGAACCACATTCTACGACCACTTCTGGACGAATGCGTGGTGGTGTACCTGGACGACATACTCATCTACTCGCGCGACATGAAGCAGCACGTCGAACACCTGCGACGCGTCTTCGAAATTCTTCGACGAGAACGATTCTACGTCAAACTGTCCAAGAGCGAATTCGCCCTGGAGAAAGTCCAATTTCTAGGACACTTGGTGAGCGCTCAAGGAGTTCACGTCGACCCCAAGAAAGTCGAAGCCGTACGTACGTGGAAGACACCCGAGAACGTGAAGGAGTTGCAGCAGTTCCTAGGCTTCGCTAATTACTACAACAGGTTCGTGCCACAGTATGCGAAACTCGCGGCACCACTCACGAATCTGCTGAAGAAGAACACGCCCTACAAATGGGAGACGAAGCACCAGGAAGCCGTGGAGCAGCTGAAACAAGCACTAACGTCCGCACCGGTGCTCATCTTGCCAGATCTCGAACGCGACTACGTAATCGAAGCTGACGCCAGCGACCAGGCAGTGGGAGCAGTCTTGATGCAAGACCAGGGGAATGGACTGCAACCAATTGCCTACCTCAGCAAGAAACTGCACGGGGCAGAACTCAACTACCCGATACACGACAAAGAGGCTCTTGCTATCGTTATCGCCTTCAAAGCGTGGAGGTGCTATCTCGAAGGACGAAGAACGACCGTCTACACCGACCACTGCAGTCTGAAATATTTGAAGACACAACCCAACCTTTCCAGGCGGCAGGTCCGGTGGATCGACTTCCTCGAGACACACTTCCACTACGACATCGTGTACAAGCCCGGCCACAAGAACAAAGCAGACGCGCTCAGCCGGCCTGCACACGTTGCCACGATTCAGGTCGAAGGGATGAATCCACTACTCAAGGGACTCTTCACCCACGGGTACGCCATCGACCCCGAAATTTCCTTGGCAGAAAAGCGACATCTGCTACAGTGGGACAGTGACATCGCGTACCGGAAAGGATCAACAAAAATCTGGGTACCCAATTACCCTCCTTTGCGCCAGTTGCTACTCGAAGAATACCACGACGTCCTGTACGCCGGACACTTCGGTAGCAACAAGACGCTCACCGGTATCGCCAAACACTACTACTGGCCCCATATGGCAGACGACGTCCAGAAATTCGTCACCTCGTGTGATACATGTCAGCGGATGAAGAGCAGCAAGCAGAAAAAGGCGGGACTACTGCAGCCTCTTCCTGTCCCAGAACAACCATGGCAAGTGGTTAGCCTAGACTTCATCACCGGGTTACCACCTACCTCCAGCGGTCATGACGCCATCCTTGTCGTCATTGACAAGTTCTCCAAAATGGGACACTTCATCCCGACACACACGACGGCACGCACCGAGGAGACAGCACAGCTCTTCGTTCGTCACATCATCTCACAGCATGGCATCCCAACTACACTCATCTCCGACCGAGACCCCAAGTTCACTAGCAAGTTCTGGAAGGAACTTATGTCTCTGCTCGGCACCAAACTCGCCATGTCATCCGCATACCATCCGCAGACAGACGGACAGACCGAGCGCCTCAACCAAATTGTTGAGCAACTCCTCCGAGCAGCCTGCAAGGACGACATCTCCAAATGGGACTTGCACCTGCCCGTACTCGAGTTTGCTTACAACAATGCTACACATGCCGCTACTGGACAGACGCCGTTCTTCCTCTGCTACGGACGCCACCCACTCACACCACAAAACCGACAGCATCACCTACAGTCCAACCTGCACACGATTTCATCACAACCATGCATCAACTTTGGGATCGGACCCATAAGCGCCTCCTTGACATTCAACAGCAACAAAGCGCCAGGCCGATCGCCATCGCAACGACCACACCATTCCGGTGGGGGACCAGGTGCTTCTCGACACCCGTAACCTGGACATCAGCCATCTCCCATCTAAACTTCGACCTCGCTTCTGCGGGCCTTTCCTCGTTGAAGCACAGGTCACTCCTGTTACCTTCCGCTTACGCCTGCCAGCTACCTGGAAGATTCACAACGCCTTCCACGTCCAACTTCTGAAGCCCTATCGGGACCCTAACACAATCTTCGTCGGACGCCAACCGCCGCCGCCGCCACCCGTCCTCGTCCAAATGAACCCGATACGAGGTCGAGTCCGTGCTTGCACACGCGCGTCGGAATGGCACCGTGGAGCTTCTTATCCGTTGGAAGGGCTATGATCCTTCTGAGGACAGCTGGGTCTCTGAGTCCGACATGGGTAACGCCCGTCGTCCTCTGCATGACTACCTTGTCAAGCAGGGTGTTATTTCTACCACCCAGCTTTGAGGGGGGGAAGTGTGAGAGTACGCCTCCGTTACACCACTTGGCCTTTTCCATATTTCATCTTCATTTCATTCCTCTTTTTATCTCACGCCTTTTGCCTCATATTCCCCATTTTCCATTATCCTTTGGTTTCTTCCTTTATTATTATTATATCACCGACCAGGCATGGAATGTTCTAGACACGCTATCTAGCGTAATCCTGCTGTAATCCCTTAAAGCCAATAGCCTCGCGTGGCTATACGCAGGGTGATTCTATCTTCTAGAAGGGTCTATTCCCTTAGGATAAGATAAACCTGGTTACCTGATGTACTCTGGAAGTATAAAAGCGCCTTGTACTGATCGATAGTGCAACCTTTCCTCGACACATTCGATCCTGTGACAGTCCCTCTCGTGCTCGTCCTGCCTCGCCTGTCCTGCGCTCCCACCCTATGTTGCTTCGTTCACACGCGTCTCGTCCTCCCCTTCTGCCGTCGCCTCCTCCGTCCTCCCTTGTTGTTGCGCCCCCCCCGCTGTCCGACTACCTTCGTGCCGCTCGTCCTCTCGTTCCTCAGGTCCTTGCCTCTCTCGTTACTGACCCGTCTGTTCCAGTCTCGTGCCTTGACGCTCTTGTCGCTGCTGTCGCTGACTTCGCCTCTACCCGCCGCCTTGACTACGCCACCGCTCTAGTCTCTGACCCTGCCTGTCCTCTGTCTGTCGGGGGTGCTCCTGCCCTTGGCAGTGACGTCCTGGAGGACCGCCAGTTCGAGCTTGCTTTCCTCTCCGAGGCTGCTCCCCATCTCTGTTCCATGCTGCTAGTCCCTGAGGGTGACCCAGACGCTTTTGACATCCCGACCCCTCGCACTTACGCTGAGGCGACTTCGGGACCCTGGGCCTCGCAGTGGATAGCTGCCATGGAGCAGGAGATGGCATCTTGGAGATCCACCGGCACCTTCGTCGACGCAGTTCCCCCACCTGGGGTGAACGTAGTCGATGGCCGCTGGCTCTTCAAGGTGAAGCGCCCTCCTGGAGAGCCGCCTGTCTTCAAGGCGCGCTATGTGGCTAGAGGCTTCAGTCAGCGCGAGGGGGTGGACTTCTTCCAGACTTTCGCTCCGACCCCGAAGATGACTACTCTTCGGGTTCTGTTACACCTAGCTGCTCAGCGTGACTACGAGCTTCACTCCCTCGACTTCTCCACTGCCTTCCTTCAGGGCAGCCTACACGAGCAGGTCTACCTGTGCCGCCCTCCGGGCTTTACTGGCACCTTCCCTCCTGGGACCCAGTGGCTCCTGCGGCGCCCCGTCTACGGCCTGCGCCAGGCTCCCCGTGAGTGGCACGACACTCTGCGTGCTACGCTTGCTGACCTGCAGTTCTTTCCGTCTTCTGCAGACCCTTCACTCTTCGTTCGTGCTGGCCAGACTCCGTTCTACATCCTCGTTTACGTCGACGACCTGGTCTTTGCCACAGCAGACAGGGATGCGCTGGCCTCCGTGAAGGCGGAGCTGCTGAAGAGACACACGTGCACTGACCTTGGAGAACTGCGCCGTTACCTTGGCTTGCAGATCTCCAGGGACAGAGCTGCGCGCACCATCACCTTGACTCAGTCACACTTGGTGCGCCAGGTCCTTCAGAGGTTCAGCCTTCAGTTCTCCTCTGCACAGCCCACCCCTCTGCCTGTAGACCACAGGCTCTCCGCTCCAGTGCCTGAGGAGTTGGTAGAGCCCAGCGGCCCCTACGCAGAGCTGGTGGGTTGCCTCATGTACCTGATGACTTGCACTCGCCCAGATCTCGCATACCCTCTCAGCATCCTGGCTCGCTTTGTGGCCACAGGCAGACACCGACCGCAGCACTGGTCTGCCGCTAAGAGGGTTCTGCGTTATCTTGCTAGTACATCGGGCATGGGGTTAGTGCTAGGAGGACGCAGGCCAGCGGTCCTTACTGGGCACACAGACGCTTCGTGGGCAGACGACGCTGAGACACTCCGATCTACCCAGGGCTACTGCTTCAGCCTTGGCTCAGGTGCCGTCTCGTGGAGAGCTACTCGCTCCTCGTCTGTTGCACAGTCCAGCTAAGAGGCTGAGATCTACGCCGGTGCCATGGCGGCACAGGAGCTCCGCTGGCTGACCTTCTTGCTCACTGACTTAGGTGAGCGACCTAGCTCTGCCCCGGTCCTGTTCGCTGACAACAGGGCCATGATCCTCCTGTGTCAGGAGCCTCAACTCGAGGGCAGAGCGAAGCACATTCAGCTGCGGTACTTCCTCCTGCGTGAGCTACAGCAGCGACGTCAGGCTCGCGTAGTACACTTGGCCTCAGGTGCCAACACGGCTGATATCTTTACGAAGGCGCTTGCGCCTAAAGATCATCAGCGGCACTGTGTACAGCTTGGTCTAGTTCCTGTAGCCTCTCACTTGCTAGGACCTTGACTTTGTACTGTCCTTTATATGTATACTCAGACTGGACTTGTGTCCTCTCCCAGTGGCTGGACTAGTAGTGCCGCCCTGCACTTGTGCTTGCCTTGTCTGTACTCCTTCTGACCGGTCGCTCAGACCCTTGCCTCAGAGGTTGGACTAGTAGTGCCGCCCTGAGCTGCTTGTTTAGGGTATTCCCCTATGCAGTCTAGGGGGTGTGTCAAACATGTGTATTTGTCATGTTTGTATAGACTGTATAGAGTCACCTCTTAGAGGATACAAAACTTAGATATATTTGTGTGTACTCTCACTTTACCGTTATTCAATTATTCTGATATGCTGGGCTAGGGGGTGTGGGTGTGGGTGTGGGTGTGGGTGTGGGGGTGTGAGAGGGCCTGACACTACCAAGCCTAGGGGGTGTGTTCAAATTATATAAGTTATAATTTAATATAGGCTTGGTAGGTTGTTACTGAACCTTTCAGTAGGGGGTACAAACCCCTCCTTGTACTCCCCTCTCTTCCTAATCCAATACTCTTCTCTCTCGACACTTTCGTCCAGCTCCTAGCTAAACCCTTGACGGACAAGCTCACTGCCCGCACCCTTCCCTGCGTCTTCCTCGGTTTTCCCCTTGACGCGTCCGACTGGCACTTTTACCACCCGCCGTCTCACCGCTTCTTTCACTCTCGTGACGTCACCCTTGACGAGTCCGTCTCCTACTACCGTCGCTTCCCCCACCGTGGTCCCCCGGTTACTCCCCCCCTGTTCCTGGTCCCTCCTTCCCCGGTAGTCCCTGCCCCTCCTCCTCCTCCTCCCCGTCCCGCCCCCTCTGGTGTGTCCCACGTCACCCCCCTTCCGTCGGTGGACCCGGTTGAGGAGTCTTCTGACTCTGGTGGCCCTCCTGTGCAGTCCTCGTCAGCCGCCCCTCCCCTGGCGTCCCCTCCCCAGTCCCCTCCTCCACCGCTTCTGCCGCCGCTGCAGCCGTCGTTGCCGCTGCCGCCGCCGCTGCCGTCGCAGCACCCGTTCGCTGACTCTGGGGGTGCTCGTCCCGGTAGCCCTGGGGGTGGTCCCTCTGGGGGTGCTGGTGTGGAGAGTGTCGGGGGTAGCCGAGGAGCAGCTAGCGGTCCCGGTGTCGCCGTTGTGCCGCCGCAGCAGTAGTCCCCGCCGGTGTTCGCCCTTCGCCTGCTCGGCCTTCCGTCCCCCGACCCTGCGTCGGTTCCTCCCCGACCGTCTCCTCCTCTTCCTGTCTACGGCCCTGTTTTCCCTCCGCCGAACTCGTCCCCGGCCCGTCTTCCTCCTCGTTCCGCTCCTGTGTCCCCTCCTCTGTCTCCTGACCCGACTCCTCCGTCGCACGTCTGGTCTCACCGTCCCTCCTGTGCTCGTCCTGCCTCGCCTGTCTTGCGCTCCCACCCTATGTTGCTTCGTTCCCACGCGTCTCGTTTTTCCCCTTCTCCCGTCACCTCCTCCGTCCTCTCTTGTTGTTGCACCCCCCCCGCTGTCTGACTACCTTCGTGTCGCTCGTCCTCTTGTTCCTCGGGTCCTTGCCTCTCTCGTTACCGACCCGTCTGTTCCGACCTCATGCCTTGACGCTCTTGTCGCTGCTGTCGCTGACTTCGCCTCTTCCCACCGCCTTGACTAGGCCTCCGCTCTGGTCTCTGACCCTGACTGTCCTCCGTCTGTCGGGGGTGCTCCTGCCCTTGGCAGTGACGTCCTGGAGGACCGCCAGTTCGAGCTTGCTTTCCTCTCCGAGGCTGCTCCCCATCTCTGTTCCATGCTGCTAGTCCCTAAGGGTAACCCAGACGCTTTTGACATCCCGACCCCTCGCACTTACGCTGAGGCGACCTCGGGACCCTGGGCCTCGCAGTGGATAGCTGCCATGGAGCAGGAGATGGCATCTTGGAGATCCACCGGCACCTTCGTCGACGCGGTTCCCACGCCTGGGGTGAACGTAGTCGATGGCCGCTGGCTCTTCAAGGTGAAGCGCCCTCCTGGAGAGCCGCCTGTGTTCAAGGCGCGCTACGTGGCTAGAGGCTTCAGTCAGCGCGAGGGGGTGGACTTCTTCCAGACCTTCGCTCCGACCCCGAAGATGACTACTCTTCGGGTTCTGTTACACCTAGCTGCTCAGCGTGACTACGAGCTTCACTCCCTCGACTTCTCCACTGCCTTCCTTCAGGGCAGCCTACACGAGCAGGTCTACCTACGTCGCCCTCCGGGCTTTACTGGCACCTTCCCTCCTGGGACCCAGTGGCTCCTGCGGCGCCTCGTCTACGGCCTGCGCCAGGCTCCCCGTGAGTGGCACGACACTCTCCGTGCTACGCTTGCTGACCTGCAGTTCTTTCCGTCTTCCGCAGACCCTTCCCTCTTCGTTCGTGCTGGCCAGACTCCGTTCTACATCCTTGTTTACGTCGACGACCTGGTCTTTGCCACAGCAGACAGGGACGCACTGGCCTCCGTGAAGGCAGAACTGCTGAAGAGACACACCTGCACTGACCTTGGAGAACTGCGCCGTTACCTTGGCTTGCAGATCTCCAGGGACAGAGCTGCGCGCACCATCACCCTGACTCAGTCACACTTGGTGCGCCAGGTCCTTCAGAGGTTCAGCCTTCAGTTCTCCTCTGCACAGCCCACCCCTCTGCCTGTAGACCACAGGCTCTCCGCTCCAGTGTCTGAGGAGTTGGTAGAGCCCAGCGGCCCCTACGCAGAGCTGGTGGGTTGCCTCATGTACCTGATGACTTGCACTCGCCCAGATCTCGCATACCCTCTCAGCATCCTGGCGCGTTTTGTGGCCACTGGCAGACACCGACCGCAACACTGGTCTGCCGCTAAGAGGGTTCTGCGTTATCTTGCTAGTACATCGGGCATGGGGTTAGTGCTAGGAGGACGCAGGCCAGTGGTCCTTACTGG